GGTGACTTTGGGCCAGTCACAGACTCTTAGCCCAACCTACCTCACAGAGTTGTTGTTGTGGGGATAAGATAGAGCAGGAGAATGATATAAGCTGCCTTGAGCCCTTTGAGGAAAAAGGCAGGATATAAATCGATAAATAAATACATAAATAAAATATTATCATTATTACATTGCATTTATATCCTGCCTTTTTCCCCTGTTAAGGAACCCAAGGCAGCTTACATAGCTCCAGTTACCCTTAGAACAACAAGTCTATGAGTGGCTGACTGGCCCAAGGTGGGGACTAGAACCTACGCTTCCTGGGTCTAAATACCACACCAACTCTCAAGTTGAACAATACAAAAAAATGAGACCAATATATAGTGCCATGGAGAAATATATTTGTTTGGCAGGGGCTGAAATCTCAATAAATATAGTGTTCGGGGGGGGGGGGGGGAGAAGACTTGAGGTAGGGGAAAATAGTCCCACATTCCTGTAGAAAGGTTTTGATATTTGGATCCTACATTTTTTCACTTTCAGTTGATAAGCCTGCCTTTCCAATTTATAAAGTATATTCCTTCCCATTTTGCTAGCAATGTGCAGACAGGTTCCAGTAACGCTTTTCTGTTTTGTTTCAACAAGAAATACCTTGATGAGTTACAAGAAAATTACTAGCCACTTTGTGTGACACTGTTCTAAAAATATGTTACTTCAGCTTACAAAAGCTTCTTTACATTCTCTCATATGTCTTAAGTGTATGAATAACCCTACCACTGGTGTATTTTCAAGGATTTTTTAAAAATAGAAAAAAGATTTACTAAATGGGGCAAAAAGAGTCTTAATGTAGAAGAAATGTGTTCCTCATTTCTCCTATATTAATAAAATGTTTTATTGGTAGCTTGACTTATTGACTATATTTCTGTCAAGAAAACAGCACACAAGTCAGTTTACAATTAGATTAATACAGCTTAGTAAGTTAAAACAATAAAAAAATAAATACATGGGCAGAACAATCTTGTGGCAACCTAGCCAGTGTCTAGTGATGCATAGGGTTTTTCAGATTTTCAGATTCAAGGTTGGAAAGAGCGGGGAATCTGCATTCTGATTCCCACCCCCACAGGTTGGTACAAAAGAAACTGCACCAGTGACTTTCCCAAGAATGTAAGGGCAATTTGGAGAGGAATTAAAGAAGGAACTGCAAGGAGAGGGGACTGTATCCTGTCAGTGCTTCAGCTTCCTTCCCTCCTGATCCAAAGTGCTGCAGCTAGACAGCTGAAGAAAGCATGTGTAAAACAGCAGTTTGCCTTTGAAAGAACGGAGTAGGTTTTTTCCTCTCTGGTGGAGTCCTGAGTACATACTTTCCACCGTAAAAGGAAATAGTTGTCATTGACTCCTATTAGAAAAAAGTAATGCACTGGGTGATGAGGACAAAACTCCTCTGACACTGGGTTTCCTACCCTGCTATCCCCCAACAAGATAAAGTGTGTCTTTAATATGACTCTAAGAAATACTTATTGGTACATTTATTAAAATATAAATGTTAACATATATATTAAGTTCTTATTTCTTTCCCTTTTCTCTCTCATTTTAGGAATGTCTAGAACAGAATTGACAAAAGATGGAACTATCAGTACCAGTGCTAGCCCCAGTATGTGGTTTGGACAGGTCAGTGTATTGTAACCTTCAGTTTTGTGTGACATTTTCAAGGTGTTTTCTTCTTTAAAATCTACTCTATGTAACATCCCAGTTCAGACATAATGCATGTGAATGAATCTATATGTTGGACTTACACATTTTCCCTCTCTACTACTCATCTTTCCACTCTTGAATAAACCTCAGTTTCTTGTTATGATCAAATTCAAGAAATTATAGCTTCTTTTAAATAATTATTAGATTTATTTAGCATATTGTTTGTCATACATGAACTTGTGATATATATTAGCAGTTGAACTAGGTTAACAAATGCATTTCAAATATAAATGTTAAAAAGATTGCGATTCATTAGGCCATCTAACCATTGAAGCACAGCATCATTTATGTGGAAAAAGTCAGACACTGGGCCAGTGTATGCCCTCAGTTTACAGCCAATCACAGTATGGTGTACAGTTTGACATGGAAACCCACAGTTGCACTGAGGGGTAGAAGCTATATCCCATTTATGCAGTGAGTCCATGTGAGGTGCAAATCCTTATTAGAAACAAGCCAGAATCAGATCTAAACTTCTGCCTAAAATACTCTTTAAAATGAAAGGACCCCAATGTGTTCTGAATTAAAAATACTCTAAAGAAACAATGAAGCTCAAAAACTGTATTCTTTCATAAAAATCGCTTTGCACCCTGTTGGATTTTGTATGCTCTTGGTGCTTATGGATCCATGACATCCTACTACATTGCAGTGAAAATATATTTTAAAAATCAGGTGTTGTTTGCTGACCAGTGATAGGACAACATGCCAGCTGAGATTTCTTTTTGATTTGCTTTAATCATACTTGAAAGAACACAAGTTGAAGTCTGTGAATTCATGTTGCAAGCAATTTTCTTTCTGACAGCAGTGAGGATCATTTTAATGATTTCTGATATTACCATAAGGAAGGTAACTCTCTAAGATACAATGCATCCCTTCTTTTTTGCTAACACCTTTAGAAATAAGACTAATGAAAAGTTTACAGTGCAGAAAAACTGAGGGAACTAAATCTTGAGGAGAAAGCGACCATATGTAAAAGAAATAAAATACATAAATAATGGGTATCCTAAATCACTCTATTGTATGTGTTTAAGTGTCAGTATACAGCAGAGGAGTACGGGGCCATTCAGGCTGCTCTGCGACAGAGGCTGGGCCCAGAATACATCAGCAGCAGACAAGCTGGAGGAGGACAAAAGGTACAAATGTGGACACCAGTGTTTTCTACTGAAAGTCTTCCGTGGACATCAGAGAAAAGCCTTGCTGTACATAGTTCAAAATATTTATAAGCTCTTTGGGGTAACATGTTCCCTACCTTTCTTGGGAACTACATTATTTTTTGTTAGCTGTTTGGTACTGTAAACATGGAAAGTACACCTTAAACTACTAGGCAGTGCTACATTGTCTGTAAATATTGGACAGTGTCTAATTGTATCATTCCTTAAACTCAGATAGCAGTAGATCTTGGGTGAACCTTTCTGCTGCAAAAATAATAAGCAGAAAAAGTGGGGGAGAAAGATTTTACATGTCTACTTCAAATATGTATGTTAACAGAAACAGATCAAATAGCCCAATTAGTGTCCATATGGACAGCTGCAAGAGACGCATTCAAATGTGGCTAGAACAGTAAACTTTTCAGTCCACCAAATGACAGGTGGTGAACGGTGATCCTTCCAAGCTTGAAGCATAAGTCTCCTTGCAAGCCTAAGGTTCTCAGTAGCCGCTTTTGCCATCTAGCCGTTAAGCCTCACATCTAGCCTCTTGCCATCTAGCCGTTAAGCCTCACATCCCAGCAATGTAATTTAAAAGCACATGGGCATGCTTGCAGGAGCATAACTGTAGTTGGATTTTCCTCTTGCTGGTAGTTTGGCGTTACCAGCACATTGCACATTAATTAAATGGTACCGTTGAAGACTGCCCTCTGTGTTCCTTTCCCGTCTTGAGATGATGCTCCTTATTTGGTCACAGTGCTCAGAGTGCATGTAGACATAGATTTTATATAAATATAGTGAGATGTGGATTTTCGACACTGCATTTCAGCTACTACAGCAAAATAGTATTTCTTTGCTTTCCGATTTTAGGTTTGTTACATTGAAGGACACAGAGTCATCAGTCTGGCCAATGAAATGTTTGGTTACAATGGCTGGGCTCATTCAGTTACTCAACAGAATGTTGGTGAGTATTTTTCATGGGTTCTAGAAGAAATAATAAAATGATCCAGTCTGGAAAACATCTTAAAAGAATGAAGTGGTAAACAGTGGGTTATATATAATGGTGTGACACTTATAGAAGGGTTATTAGTCCAGCAGAGGCGTCTTCCATATAGTGAGGAGGTCGTATTTGTCAATTTCTCTGAATCCATCAAAAATCTGTCCCAGAGGACTGAATATGTTTCAGAACAGCATGGGAGTTGGCTAGAATGGCATTACTTGATGAAGGGAGTATTTGTGAACCTAAGGGGGAACCTAAGGACTGCAGCAGACCAATCAGGAGGAGGCTGCAGCTGTCGATAGGCAAGACTAGAGAAGTGGGGCAGGATTTCACTCATGGGGACTGGCATGATCGTTTCCACATTCTCTGCTCTGTTCTCCTGGTTTCACGATGCTGCCCTGGTAACTACATGTTCATCTGACTGTTAAGTTCGGCAAAAGTCTGCATAGAAACAATACAGAAACAATACAGTTGTCATGTTGTGTGTACCCAGCCACTGTGAGTTGGCTGTGTGTTAGCACTTAAAGTTGATAAGACTTTGGCACATAGCAATTATCTTGGATTGGATTGCGTGCCTGCAACAAGATAGCTCATTTATTTGATATTTTTGTTACCCCAATAAGTGCAGGGACTAAATTGTACATCCAGCTACTAAACCCAAGTTCATTGTGCCATCTTAATATCTGTTCATTACTGCTACTTCTAACAGCTTGTTTTGTTTTATTACTGACTTGGCTTTCTCTGTGTCTGTATTTTCCTGTAAAACTCTTCCGTGCAACAAAATCTAGGTGACACAGGCATGGTTTCAGCAATATGGCAATTCCTGGCAACTGATCTCACTGTACTGTTTGTCATTTTGTCTATTATGGCTCTCCACTTTCCTGCTTTTTCCCAGTAAAGAACACATTTTTCAGATGCAGGGAAGCCATACAACAGCTTAAGCTTCTTGAATTCTGGTAAATTTTGGGGGGTTAAAAAATCAAACATGCTGGAGCTTAATCTGATTCTAGACACATGTAAATATTGATCTTCAGTGCCTAACTAGATAGAATAGATCAATTAGAGATACACAAAATAGAAAAGATCTGTTCCTAGGAAAGCTGATGTGGTCACCTCTAAATTCTTGGCAGCTGAAATAATCATATCCTTAGTCACAGAACATTACTGCAAATGAAGCTGTTTGCCAAATTGAATAGAAATAGGCTGAGAGAAAACTTTTGAATCTAAAATTGATTACAAGGTTTCACTAGAGAAGATCTTGCACTGCTTTCCATTGTCTTGGCAGGAACCCACTGTGATTTGGCTTCTCCCTTCCTAGCACTGCCTTTCATGGGTAGCCAGTATGCAAGAGTTGGTAGTTGTTTTATTTTTCTCTTTCCTCTTTATCTTTTGACTTGTATCTATTGTTTTGTAAGCATCATTTAAATCATTTTGAATGTGCAAATAGCTGGATTATAAATTAAAATGGACCAAGAAGTTCAACCAAAGTCTGCCCTCATGTAACTTGCACTTGTTCCTATTAAATTTAATTTTCCTTCATTTCACCCCAGTTTTCATTAGTCTGCTTTAGTCATCTTGAATTTTATTTCTGTTTTTCATGGTGTTTACGGGCCTTGCCTGCATCTTTTGGTCCTTTGTGAATTTGATAAAGGTTCTGGCCATCATTTCATCTCAGTTGGGGTAGACAAGGTGGTCCCCACAGTTAAAATTGGGCCCCAGAAACCTTTCTTGGAACCTGCCAATATACCCCACCCTTACCATTTAAGATGCGCACACATATTTTTTTTATCGACAGCTGGAGTTTCTTTCTGTACTGAAAACTGTGGACTCAGAGGAGTTGTTTAATGTGTTGGGGCTCAGACTCCACCTTTGCCTCGTAGTCAGTCTTTGGGCAGGTTTCTTATCTTTTGCTTTGCCTCCTAAAGTAGGAATCTTATAGTGATGCCCACTTCTGTTTCTCAAATTGCCAAGTGTGCTCACAGCCAAGAAAGATTGCCTACCCTGGATCTAGGTTATTAATACAGGTGTACATGGTGTATAAAGCCCTTCAGTACCCCATTTGAAATTTCCCTTTCATTTGATGAGGAGACATTGATGAACACTTTATGGTTTTACAACCTGCTATCAGTGCCTAGGACACTATTACCAACTAGCCACAATTTCAGAGTTTATTTTAGTGTACAGCTAGACACATTTTTTGCAGTTGGTCAAAGTATTTTGTTGAAATAAATGTGGTCAAAGGATTTTGTTGAAATCAAGACCTAAATATATTGTGTCTGCATTTTATTGTCTGTAAATCAGAGAGCCAGCACAGCTGAGTGAACAGTATATTAACCTAATAACCCAATAATGCTTTAAGAGGATTTTTTTTTAGGAACATGTGCATTTCTACCTAGGTATCACCTTTGTGAGCCAACAATCTGTTTGGAAATAGCCTTGTAACCTTTCTAGAGAATTTCTTCAATAAATAGTTGCATAAATGTGCAGTAGTCTGATTTTTCTCTTAATATATTTCTACTTAGAACCCATTGCTAAAAGTACACTACTTATTACTCGGTGTCTTTTTGTTGAATTCATGTGCTTCACATTCCATTCTGCATGCTGTGTTTCTGCTTCTGTAAAGTTAAGAACAGTAATAGCCATGCCTTAAACTGAATGATAAATATTAATCATAAACATTGGAGCAATCTGTAACTGAGTGACTTCTTACCTCTTCTTTCCATATCCTGCAGTATACTGAGCCCTAAACCACTCTTTAAAAATCGAATGCATGATGGCAGAGATTTCTGATACAACTGTGCACATGCAGAAAAACTAGCATGACCCTGACCTGTAACTATTTATTTCTGTTCTTGCACAGATTTTGTTGACCTAAATAATGGGAAGTTTTATGTGGGTGTCTGTGCCTTTGTGAAAGTCCAACTGAAGGTAAATGGGGTACTGGTGAATAACAAAGTGATACTGATTTTGTTTAGGACCATAAAACTAAATGAAATAATATTCAGTGAGTGTTGAAGGTGCTACCTCAAATGGGGTGTTGTCATTACTCTAGTTTCTAATTGACAAGGACAATTTATCTGTGTTGCTTTTTACATGTAATAAGATATTATAAACATGATCTTTGCATTGCTTATAGTTTGAGCATCTGAATTTTCAACAGTAACTAGCCTTCTGAGCAAATCCCAACGTGCTGTTTGGGTCCATTTTCATTCCAGAAACACCAAACATACTGATGTTTTCCTTTAATCTTTTTCCAGTCTTGTTAGGATGACTATTGCAAAAGAGCAGTGCTGTTCTTACGCACACTATTTAAATTACAGGATGGGGCATTCCATGAAGATGTTGGCTATGGAGTAAGTGAAGGTTTGAAGTCTAAGGCCTTGTCCCTTGAAAAAGCAAGAAAGGAAGCTGTTACAGATGGACTGAAGAGGGCATTGAAGTAAGTGGTAACACAGCAGTTTTTCTTGTCCCAAAGAGCTATGAAGTCAGGAAGTGTATTCTAAAAAAGATAATTGACTCTCTACTTTTCCAGGTGCTTTGGTAATGCTCTTGGGAACTGCATCCTGGATAAAGACTACTTGCGATCAGTGAATAAGCTTCCACGACAGGTATGTTACTTGGGGCCTTCAGTGGCAGTAGAAAATTGCCAATGGCACAGGAAGCCTAGAATCATGCAGGAAAAATGCCACATTCTGCAGTGCAGGGTTCCCAGTGTAGCATCCATGAAGCTTTCCTCTCCCTGCCCCCTTCAAAAATTATTATTGCATTGTGCTAATTATACTTGTAATTTTTTTAAATTGAAAACCATTAGTGTGCTAGGTTCTTCATCCTGTTTCTGAACCTGCCACTGATTCAGCAAGCTGGAAAAGAAGGAAAGAGTTCTTTTCTGACCCCACCCAATCTTATTTCATTCACACAAACTTTTTCCCATTGCTTTCTTTCTTGTTTTTTCCACTTGCAGCTTCCACTCTTGCTGTGCACCCAGCACATTTCCTCCTTCCTTCCTTCCTTCCTTCCTTCCTTCCTTCCTTCCTTCCTTCCTTCCTTCCTTCCTTCCTTCATTCCTATACTGCCCAACAGCCAAAGCTCTCTGGGCAGTTTGTTCTTTCTATGCTGTTGCTCGGCACTGTCCTTCCCTCCCTGTTCTCCCTCTTTCCTTCTCTCTCCCTCACTCTCCCCCCCCCCCCCCCTTTCAGCCTCTGGCCCTGCTATTTTTCCCTTCCACCTTTTCACCTTCCCGTTTTCTCTTCCATCCCAGCCTTTCTCACTCTCAACCTCTTCAGTAAGCTAAGCCCTGATGGCAACCAGTTTGTTGGTGATGCTCACAGCAGTTTCTTAAATTCCCAAATGTGACCATGGATCCAAAAGTGATGTGGAACCCTGGTGTAGTAAGCACAGATTACGCAGATTTGAATAACTTGTGTGTTTTCTTCCATTGAGCACCTGTGCATTTTCCTTTGATGGCTGTTGATAGTGCCAGGTTTATCCCTGTGGAACATGATCTTCACTGGGTGGGGATCCAGGATACACCTTCCTTGAGAGGATGTACTCCACTTGCAGAATGTCCTTCTGGGCAAGATTTGGGGATTCCTGTTTCTTAATTCTATAGCTCACCCCATTCAGCAAGGTTTCCTAACCCTCTATGTAGCTTGTGCAGTATGGGGGTGGGGGGCAACACCATTGATCTAGCTTAAGTTTGAATTCAGTCTGTGGTTTTCACCTGAACGGTTTTTGAAGCACAGGCTGACTGTCCCTAATATGGCTATGCCCATGTTTATACCTTGACACCATTCATAATTCCCACACATGCCAGTCAAGGCTGTGCCTTCAGATTTCAGTGCATTCCTACTAACACCATTAAACTAAAGCCATTTTTTCTCCTTAGGAGAAAAATAGGATTCTGCAGTCCCCGGCTGTTCTAGTACTTACTATAATAACTTTCCTCCCCAAAAATCCCTTTATATAAAATATAACTAGCTAACTCACACAAAAGTTGTTAAGTTACTTAAAGAATTTTAAGAATTTAAGAAATTTATGTTGATAAGTTGTTTCCAAGGTATGTCTTGGGGTTTCATGTTGGACTATTTTTTATTTTACTGATGAAGATGCTTTCCTTAGGGTAAAATCCCTGAAAACTACCACAATTTTCTTATTTACCTGCCAAAAAACCAGTTGAACTCAAAGGGATCCAATTCTGAGTAGACATGCATAGGATCATACTATGAGCCTGGTCAGTTAAATATGATTAATTATTGAGTAGAGGTCTACAGGGAAAAATAGATCTTAAAGCTACAGAACCATTTTTCTTTACCACACCTCCAGAAAGTTTCTCTTAAAACTGCCAAGCCATTCAGTTAAATCGTGCAATTAATATTATCTTCACATTTGCTTCTTTTCTTTCCATTGCCTCGAAACAGCTTCCTCTAATCCCCATTATAGTTTGAACTCTTCTGCTGCTTCCCCACCCCAGTGAATCATCGTTTAAGCTCCTGCATTCCGATCATTCCAGCCTGAATCTTGGCAGTATTCCTTTTGCTTATGGTGGCCTATGGTTTTCATCATTTTAATTTGCCTAGTACCAAAAAATGCAAAGTACTTTTGGGTGCTGGGCCGAAAGCTGAAGTGTCTGAAATGATCACTTTAACTTATTTGTTAAGCACTTGAGACCATGTTAAAATCTCTGGGTTTATTCGTTCATTGAAAAAAACCAACCCTAAGGTCCATTTATTTTTTTTAATTCTTCCTTTTTCATGGAAAAGTATAAGGAGCCAAAGATGATCCATGAGATACATGTTGCTAAATATGACTGAAATCTTCATTAGCTGAGACAAGTAACTCCATTTGCTCAGTTTGTAGCACAGGCCCAAAAGCTTGATGTGAACAGGCAAAGTCTGCCAGGAAAGCATTTTTTTTTTTGCTAGGCAGCTTGACAGATAAGGAGTCTATGAAATGCTTCTATTACATTCTGAATTTCTCTAACTACTGAATACTTTTGTTCCATTCCTTTGACTAGATGTCTCCAGATTTTGATCTGAGTAAAGCCAAAAGGCAGGACTTGGAGCCTGCTGTTGAAAAGGCTAGGTACAGAAGCTGTCTACAAAAGGCACATGAAGTCCCACAGCAGTTTTCCACAGCAATCTCTGGCAATCCTGACCAGTTAGAATCTTCCTTGAGCGCTACTGAACAAGATCAGCAAAACAGGTTAGAGATCTAGTCAGAATTCAATTCACAGCTAGCTATAAGCGTGCATTCCAAGAGTCATAAAATTAATGATCTTAATTTCTGTATCAAAATTGCACTTTAGATTTGCAGTCAGGGCTAACGTCTGATTTGGGAAAGAGTTGTATGTGCATTTGGGCCAATCAGATCCGAGTATGAGAGTTGTGACAGTCTAGAGATTAACTGCAGGGTCGGACCGGAAATGTTTCCTCTCTGTTGCCCCTATCCTACAGTTGTCCCCCGCCCCTTTGCCCATGCTCTTTCCAAACAGAGGTAGTTCATGTTCCAACAAAATTCATGAAAACAGTTTGCTTAAGATGCCACAAATCAGCATACATGGTTGTGGTAGTTTCTCTGCAAAGTTATATGGATTCTTCTGCTCAGATTTCCTAACATGCTGCACCCTTCATATACTAGACGCCTAATTGCATCCCAAATTAGGCTCTGTATGTTCTGTAGCAGAAAATGAAGGATTTTGCTTATTTTCATGAATTGTCCTACTTGTTTCCTTGGCAATTGTCCACAACAGCGGAGTTGCTTCCTCCATTCCTGCCACTAGGAGGCAGGCTGCTTTCTGGCAGAAATGTCAACTCAATTAGGAGAAGTCTCCTCCTCCTCTGCTAGGCCCCACTGAAAACACAGCGGGCCTGCTCAAGCCTCACAAGAGGATACCCTGGAATAACCCACCCTGCCGGCTCTACAATATACACCATCCTCCATTTTGTATGGGGACACTTTGTATGGTGCTTAACCTGGAGCAAATTTCATACCACTATATAAATCTGAAGAAAATCACTAACCAAGCAGAAATAGCTTGGTTTAACATCCATTAAAGAAGTAAAAGAAAATCCATAAAGTCAGCAAATTCTTAACCCTTCCTGCTTGTCCCTTTTTTCAATGGTCCAAAATTCTCAGGGCAGAGAGATCTGGATTCATACTTAAAACACAGATTGCAACACCCTTCAGAAGTCAGAGGCCCTGTGGTGATAAGGAACTTTAAAAACAGACTCACGTCAAATTAAAAATAAGAGTATATTTAAAGCTTCCAGAGAGTATTGAAAAACAATTCTAAATCCATCAAAAGCCAGCCTAAGCTGTCTTTAAAGGTCACCTAAAACTGAGTAAGGACAAGGCCAGTATGACCTCTGTCAAAAGAAACCTGCTTCTGTTTGCTGAGAATACAGGAGAATGATCAGCTGCCAGGGAGAAAGTGGGAGGTGCTTCTTGGCCAGTGCTGGGCGGGGTCTTTCCTACTTCTACTGGGCGGAAGGGAAAGTGCCCCATTGTTTTGAGCCTCTGAATGGAAACAAGTAGAGTGAATGTAATTATTTGTGTGTATTAGTTACTTCACATAATACTAGCTAGCCACAGAAAGCTATGCAGAACACCCAACAATCCCTTCTCAGCCTCCTCCTGTGATATGAGCTTTCAGCAGGTTTGCCCACCTATTTTGGCATTTGCCTCTACAACCCGAAGGACCTGATACTTTTGTGTGTTGATTTTAAAGAAAACCAAGATCCACAGAATGCCAAATTGTGTTACATATCCAGTTTCATGATTGCATTGCTTAAAATATACACAGTCCTGTTGCCTTCTGTGGCATATTGTCACAGTGTTTTCTGGGATAAGTTGCTACCCATCCTGGGCAAGTGTGGTTGCAATAGAGAGACAACAATCCACGGGTTATGTCCTTCATAGCAGAATGTCACTGTCCTCGGAGTATGATGCAACGTATCATCGGAAGCTACGACAGAAGCAACTTCAGCAGCGGTTCCGACAGCAAATGCAGAAGAAACAACAGCTTCCCTCAGATCCCACAGCTGACAAAGCAAGAGATCCAGGTAAAATCCTAGTTAGAATCTGCAGCTGTGATAGCGCCAATCTGCTCAGAATGGGCAGACAAGAGCCAGAGGGAGAGGGACTCCTTGACTGATTAACTAACTTACAATGAATTGCCATGCTAAGTGTATCGTTCTGTGAGGGACAGCTGAAAGCATGAGGAACCTGTGAGTGCTGTGTTCCATCTGCGTGTCTCTCTTTTATAAAGGTTTAACAATCAGGACCTAAAGGTAAGCATATATCTCTTGCTTCTGTGAGTAGAAATCATTTATTCATGCTTGTTTCATATAATGTGATCAACTCTGCAAGCATAAATACAAAACAGCCAGCCTCTCAATAATTATTATAGTAAGATCTAATCTTACAGAAAAATCAAAGATTGTGGGTGACACTTTAGGCTGCACATTTCAGTCTGTTTAATTACTAGGTAATCATGTAAGGGTTTAGTCAAGAGAAGCCAGTTTTAATTAGTGAAGGCAATTTTAAATGATGGAGGTGGAATTAAAGACAAGAATTTTTCTTCAAGCTTTTTTGAGTCTGGTATGTTTTTGTAAAAGAGTATCTTCAGTAATGTATCTTTGCAAAAAATATCAAATTGAAAAATCCCTGATCCCTTAGTGAGTTTTAGATCTTATTTAGTATGATTTCCATTTAGTAAAGAAAACTGACTTTTGAAAGGTAGATAATACACAATGTCTAAATAATCTACATCCAGATACGCTTTCACATTTCACTCATCTCAGCAATAGTAACTTCTGTTATGTGTGTCCAGAGGCATCTACTCTTGCTGCCACGAAACAGAGCACTTCAGCTGTTCTGGAACCCACTGTGGAAGAGGACGTCCTTACAGGTGATTCATAAAAGTTCCCATGTAAACTTCATGCTTTGTATAAATACCTGAAATGTTTGCAATAACCAATGTACTTGAGTTGAACTATTTTCTCAGGGAAGCGATTCCCTTCACTACATTTCATGTATTACACTGATACCTATAAAGTACATGAGCAGTCCTACAGGATGGTGTAGGATTTGCTGCCTCCCTGCCCCACCCTGAGGCCATAGACATGGCCTCCTGGGTGGAGATCCAAGGGTGGATTGTGCTGCTGCTGCTGCTGCTGCTGTCTCTGCGAGTGGCTTCTCTTCTGAGGACAAGTAGCCTTGGAAGATGTTGGGCAAGGTGAAAGGAAGGCATTTGCATGGGCAGGAATGCAGAGCCATCTAGCTCTAAATGAAAAAACTGAGGCAGGAGAGGCTGTCCATGCCTCTGTCCTCCTCACATCCTGTCTGGCTCCTGTCAGCAGGGCTTTGGATGGACAGAGGAAATTGGCATCGGAGTCCATTGTCTATCAGGCATCAGCCTCCTGGGACGGTACTCTAAGCGTTTCAAAATATTCAGAAGAAACTCAAAGCTTTACTCTGAAATTGTCTGTATTGGAATTATACTGAACATGATTTAAAATATGGAGAATGAGCATAAACTTGCTTACTGTTAAGGGGGGAATGAAGGCACTGAAAAATTATACTCTAGTTTAGAACACTCAAAGTCTTGTAGCTCGTGATGGACTCAGATGGTATCTCCAGAATTGTAGCCCGAAGAGGTCCACTGAGAACAGAGAAGAAAACATCAGCAAGCAAGCTTTGCAAAAGTTCTAGGAAATCTTTTGAAAAAACACTAGAGGCCAAAATGTCAGCTGATACTGGAGTGAACCCAGAAAGTGTAACCCTGTCCAGTGCATATCAGATCCCTGTCCCGTGACCTGTCTCTTGGCTGCCCAGGGACATCCCTGTCTTACCTGGTTAAGCTTCAGTTTGTTTGCCTTCGTCCAGAACTGGCTCGAAGAACCAGGGTTCTTACCTGGAGACAAATTCATACAGATAGGCTTTGCTTTGGAAGACAAAGCATGTTGGGTTACAAAGGTGCTTCTTTTTCTTCGGTGATTTGCTTCAGTGTCATTTTCCCATTGCCAGTTATGCCAAAATAACCAGCATTCTGTCTTTTTCTCCCGTCTCCAATCTTGAAAGGGAGATAATACATAATGTCTGTGCAAATATGCTACATTCAGATAAACTTGCACACCTCACCCATCTCAGCAATAGTAACTTATTCTGTTGTGTGTGTCCAGAAGCATGTACTCTCCCTGCTGTGAAACAGAGCACATCAGGACTGCTGGAACCCACTGTGGAAGAAGAGTTCCTTGCAGGTGAGTGTAGATCTGGGTGCTGTTTTATGTTGTGATGCTTAAAGGAACAGCTAGGGCAGAACACAAGGCAAAGAAGCAACATTTTCATAGGAATTCCATACTACACAGCTGTGTTGATCCTGAATGGGGCCTGGACTGCAGGACATACATGGGCCCCAAGGGCCAAGGAAACTGCTGGGGAATTTGCTGGGAAGGATGAGCACACTCAAGAGTGTTAAGCATCCTCCTCACGCCTCTATTTCTTTTCGGTTTTTGTGACTACTTCCATCCGAAGTACGGCTACTTCTGTTGCATTTTAGGTCTAATAACAATCACGTGTGCTCCTGAATGATCCCTTGCACTGTTAATGTTGGATGTGTTGCAGATGACCCTGATCTGTGGGACTTACCTTTGGAGGGTGCTGATCTCAGTGTTGCCAACCACAGTGCAGCAGCTGTGGCAGCCCAACATCCAGGCACACCTCTTGGACAGTATCACATGACGACTCGCAGGAGAACGCCACAAAGAATAAATCATCAGAGACAGTGTGCAAAACCTGCTCCCTGGAATCCCTCTTCTGTCCCCAGCCCTTACTTACAAGGTAAGTGAAACAAAGAGATGAAGAAGCCAGGCAAAACTGTCAGCAGAACCTAGAGACTACTGCATATGTATGAAGCAGAGGAACGCAAGTGACATACTTTCCATTCTTCAGGGAAAAGCGATAGAAATAAGTATAGGCTGAAGCCTGTAAACAGTGGGCCAGTTCACATAGTCACTGTGAGGTGACAAGCCACTGTGGATTGTTTAAACTGCCATGTGGATCAGGCACCATTTGCTTAATCGTGCATCCAGGTGTGGCATGTCATGTTATACACATCCAGATGGCATGGTTCACTGGAGGGAAAACATGTGTCAAATAACCCATGAGCTTTCAGTGGATTCTTTGAGTTGTTTCCCCCTCTAACAAACTATGCCACCTAGGTTTGGATGAAACAAGAAGCCATGTCTGGATGGGAGATTAAACCAATGGTAACTTGCACATGCCATAGCTTAAAGAAGTCACTGTGGTTTGTTTAATCCAGTTATCACAAAAAGCAGGTTACCAGGGCATGTTGTGCATCCACTCTTTTAGCTGAGGACACTCAGACTGACAGTCATCTAAGCTGCCTTCCCTATATTGAATGGAGCATAGAGATAAAAGGCCTCTTACTATCTTGCCATCCTGCAGATTAGCTCCTTCAGACTTCGTGCCAGATGGTTGCAGGTAAATGTGTTTAAAGATGCAATTCTAAGTTCAGGCTTAACTGCAGTATAGACAGTAATATTCTGAAGAGGGATAACTGCTCTGCTTAGCTTCAGGTGAGAGAGCAAAAGTAGGTGAAGTCTTAGTTGTTTAAGAGCTTTTAAAGGAAGTTTTTTTTCTGAACAATTGTTTCCACTTGTAGCTGGATGCAGCCCATACAGGAAGAGCCAAGGAATGAAGAAGAGAAAGCTGGAGCCCTCATAGCAATAAGATGCATTATTTACATATTACCTGTCCAAAGTGTATTCAAAACGCAACTTGGATGGATAAAATTTCAGAATGGCAAATATTCTCCAGGCTTTTCTACCTCCAGTAATAAACAGGAAAATATTTTATACATGTCTTTTAACTGAAGACTTAAAATACTACATCAAATCTATCTTTGGAAGATTGCAGTCTTAATGGAATGAAAGTTTGTAATTTGATTCCATATGCAAATATAAAAATTACTTTATTAACCTCCCTTATTTTGATGGGAAGAGAGCAGCAACAAGGAAGATGTCTCTTGCATAAGAATGTGCTCTAAAGTACTTCTTTGGATATGTGTGTCTGGAAAATTTTTATTCTTTTAAACAAAAAAGTCCTTGCTTGTAAAGTTTCCAACCAGTTGATGGAATCTGAGCTTTTAGGCAAACATTAGCAGTAAGTTACTTTTTTTGTGGGGAATAAAGCAGTTTTAAGCCTTTATCCCCTTGCACTGCTGATTTGCTACTTATACAGTATTAGCGCCCTTTATAACAGTGATTAGTCTTTTTCCATAGTGGTCTGTATGGTTCATCTTGGAGGCTAGTCTAACTCTGAAAATTTTAAAAATTGCATACACCTTTTTAAACATGCATTTCTCCTATTCTCTTTATTGAATAAAGAAAAATGGTCAGTGGCTTGGGTGCAAAGTTAACACAGAGGCTGGTCTGGTGTTCAGAATGGATGCAAATGCCTTTCAAATTATCTCTTAAGCATGGAATACAGCATCTAGGTCATACCTGTATAACTCTGGTGCTCAGTACCTCCACCTCCCTCCTCCCCTCCAGCCTGCAAGCTCAGGCGAATGGCAGAAGCTTTAAAAGTAGCAGTACACTTACAAAACATTGACTTAAAATTTTGGAAAATGGAATGCCAACTCTCTTTCCCTTTTGAACCCCAGCCCTGCTCTTGCTGTCTCCTCTATCCCTGGCTTTGTTAGTCCCCCATTTCCAGACTCTGCAAGTTCTCTATCCTACCCTCTTTATCTCATTATTGACTACTCCCATCCTTTCAATGGTACCCATAGCAGTTTCTCAAATGGTGTCCTAAAAGGCTTGGGTCCCTGCTATACATTTGTATTCAAAAGTCCCAGTGAGAGCACTGTGCTATTGGCAGGTTTAGTATGTTCTTTCTAGTGGATAGGGACAAAAGATTTCACTTTGGCTTAAATTGGGTTGTCTTACTGTATTTGCCATCTCAATTGCTGTGATTGTGTATTTGTTATTGCCATATTATATTATAGTCATACGTCTTGTACATGATAACCATTAAAGATGAAGGGTACTTTACAATGTTTGTTCACTAATAAAAATGCCAGTGTTTTTCCCTGCAAATGGTCAGTTACAGTTCCTCCCCGTCAAGGTATTTTCAAATTGTATGACTCTGACATAGTGCCACCATGTGGCAGGACTTTGCAGCAACCATTTCAACAGGGCGGTAGCATTTCAGCCCATGCTTCTTGCATTATCGCTTCTCCCTACACATGGCTTGCTTCTTTGTCATTTGCTTACCTTTCATGTACCACAAACAGAACCTCAAACAGAAATCATAGCACCTTTCAGCTGAGGCAGGTATGTCAAGGAACCACATCAGAACTGAAGTCTGGCAGTAGAAGGGACATGTTCTGTCAAATGTTTTTAAATTAGCCTAAGCAAGCCTCTGTCACTTTTGAATTATCCTAGTTCTAGCCTACAGAGGGACAAGCAAATTAATCTGCGTGATCAAACACTTGTGCTTGTATTCATCCACTAATGCAAAGGATCTTTAAGCCAACTGGGAACCAGTGTGGTGTAGTGGTTAAGAGCATGGGACTGGGACTCAGACGATCTGGGTTCTAGTACCTGCTCAGCCATGGAGTCAACTGGATGACTTCGGGCCAGTCACAGACTCTCAGCCCTACCTACCTCACAGGGTTGTTGTTGTGGGGATAAAATGGAGAAGGAGAATCATGTAAGCTGCCTTGAGCCCTTTGTAGGAAAAAGGCATGCTATAAATCGAAAAATAAATAAATAAACTGAAGCTTCCATGAAAGAAGGGTGAGCAAGAGATTCCTCCTACAGCTTCCAAAAAGAACTTTATAACCTGGATGGGGGCCCTTTGAAACATTGGTACATACATGGAAGGAAACAGCAGTCTAGAGCATAAAGAGGGACTTTCCAAAATGGACTCCCTCACTTGTCTGTTCATAAAGCTTACACTAAATGAAAAAAAGTCTTCTGTTTGCAGACACAACCCTATCACAACCCTAGGCTAATATCTCTTATGTGCAAAAAGCTTCAGACATACATCCTGGTTTATCCTATGCTTTTTTTATAACATCACATGCAAGTAGGTTTTGGATGCTGCCATTCTAAAAAGTGGGGTGGGGAGTACAAGATTAGTATTTACATTGAGAATTCAGATTCCTGATCATCATCTGGTTCTAATTTTAAAACTACTGTTGAGTACCTATGGCTCCAAATGATAGCATTTGAAAACTCATAGTCAATGTCAGCAGCTTTGGTTTCCTCAGAAGCCAGCAATGTAACTAAATCTTCCAGTAATAGTATGATAATTAGTTGGAGGCAATTCACTCCCCCCTCCAAGCATTGTAACAAGAGAAGCTCCGTGATAGTTGCTAAGCTTCACATCTCAGAAGGAAGCAAAAGCCAACTGGAAATGAAAAACCACAGCTCAACAAAAGCAGGTTTGGTTTATTTGAATGATTTTTTTTTAAATATCTACAAAGAAGGTAACAAACTGCAGCACAAAGCGCAATCATACAGGAAGCGCAATGCCTGGATTTAGTGCAAAACATACCAGTAACTACGGCCAGGGAAGCCCAAGGGTTGAATTCAATTTATTTATTTATTTATCTTACAGTGTACATTGTTAAATAATGTAAAGAAAACATCTGTATTCAGAAACAGATCTTGTGGAAAAAGGTACTCAAAGTGTAATATTAACACAAAATAATTTAACAGTTCAGTAGCATTAGTTAATTCATCTAGACCTCAGTTATTTCATCCACAGGAGGGAAATCAATGGTAAATAAAACCAGTACTTGCATAACTAAGTGAAAACCCGACCTCAAACATATTAAACCAAAATACCACCCTTGTGCAACACTCAGCTGACCAGCTCCTCTAACAAGAAGTGGCGTCTCTTGCAAATTGCTCCTTCATACTTTCTGTCTTTATAACCTCCAACACAGTCCAGAAAGCCCAGACTGTTCAGTTAATTTTCTCTTCAGGAACCCTTATGCTTCCTCCCATCCACCTTTCCCATCACAATGGTGAGTTGCTGGAAGCCCAGACGCCTAGACTTCTGCTTTTGTGTTTCAACCACCATGCCTAAAATCTATCCATCTTCCTGACAAAGTCACTGTAAACGTCAACTTGAGGTGAAGGATGCAATGAAAGACCTGTGCATATGTTTGAGGGAAGAGTGAAACAAGTGCAGAAAGAACAAACTCCCTGGTAACCTTAGAGAATTTTGGGAGGGGGACACATTTTTTCTCAGTATACAAACTTCCAGACTAGCAGTAAAACTGCTTCCAAATACAAAGCAGAAGTACTTTGACCCTTCACAGCCTGCTGCAGCAATACAAAGTAATACTAGTTGGTTGCAGAGTTTCATTTGAACAGGGAATCAGTATTTTAAGTTAGAAGGCGAGTGGAAAGTAGGAGATAAGTACACCTACTAGAAGGCAACACAGTTAGTTATAATCCTGGTACCAGCTTTTAAATCCTCTAGACATAGAGTGAAAACAACTTATTTTTTGATGCTGGCTGTTTCAAGTGTATCCATCCTTGAAAATGATCTACTCTTGGCCTTTCTGGATTAAATGAAGCGGGGAGCAAATCCCAGCAGACATACTTCCCTCCCCAGAGTGATCGCTCCAACCTATTAACATGCACTGCCCTTACCAAAAACCTTTATAGCTAGAAAGCCAAACCACCCATAGGGCTATCTTTTCAAAGACTCACCTCTTTCTTGCTATTCCCTCTCTTCTCATCAACCTAGTTTTTATTCTGGTCATGGTATCTATTCATTCCAGCAGCCCCACATCCATCTCTCACTGATGCTGGGTCAACCACACTGGTCGCTCCACCATTCTGTACCTTTGCTCTTTCAACATACCATTGCAGTAGCTCTCTCTCCAACACCTACTCTAGACACTATTACAGTATAAACATCCAATGTGTTAAGCCTTTGGTATTCCAGTGACTATGTCCAAATAACCTCCCTCTCCCTTGTCTTTCCCTCTTCCTGTCTAAAGTCTGCTGGGAAGGTGATGCTAACTGCAGAAGCAATAAAAGTCCAAGGCACTAAAATATCCAGCAAGCATACTGGGAGAACAGACAAGTATTCAAGTACATTAAATTTATACAATTATACATTCACATTTATCTAATACAATGAAAATAAAAAGGAAAAAAGTTAAAGTGTCTCCAATAAGTATCAGGATATAGCTAGCTTTTTCCCATTTTTTTCCTTTTTAACCCTCTATACTCCACTCATTTTTAAACTACTGTTGTCCAACAACATTTATATATCACAGTGTTTCCACATCAAAACTGATGGTAAGTACATGTCCGCAGGGAACTTTAAATTTTTTTCTAAACAATTCAAATCGCTCTAATGCTGCAGTCAAAGCTGTTAATATCTTTTACTTAAAGCAGTAATGACCTATCTCAAAGCATGGGCTGTTCCGCAAGTTCACCTGTGTGCCACATCAGTTCAGGAACTTCGGTGTGATGGTTTGAAGGAAGGAAGAGACAAGATAAAAAATAGACAGCTTTTCCCCTAGGCCCAATTCCTCAGAGCAAGATGAACGGCATACTAAAGATTCATGCTAGAACTAAACAACTCTCCCATCTCAACACATGTGAATTTAACCTCTTAAGCTTTGCATAAAGCTTGCATGATGACTTCCATCTTGACACACTTTGTCATACGTAAGAATGAGAAGAAGCATGTCCCATCACGAAAGATCCCGATCACCTTTTTCTCCCCATTTTCAGAATGGGGGGCTTTTCTTACTGAGAGCAGAGAGCAATGGTTAGAGGGGGAAATCACCCCCTTTGGGCACTAACAGCCAATTCATTGCAGCCTAGCAGTTGACTCAGGGCCCCATCTACCCCCCAAGGTCTACCCAGCAGTGTGTCTGGGTCTCATTAAGTGGTCCGCAGGTTAGAGCCAGGGGGGTTGCTGATCGATTTCTGCAAGTTGCTGATGTTGAAACTTTGCAATGAAGCAGCTCCTACAGGCTGGAATTGGCCTAAAGGCTGCTGTGCTGGACCACTTGTCCCACTCCAGGGAGTTACAAAGGGCACTGTTGGAAAACCGTACGGCTGAGGAGGGCACATTGCCTTTGTGAAGTGACCTAGGGAGGTAGCTGATGCAGCAGGGATGGGTGTAGCACCAAGGGAGGGCGTCATCGAGATGCAGAGCTGGCTTGGTGCAGAGAACTTCCTCGCCATTCCCGGGCCCTACAAAAGAAAAGCCCCAGCCCAAGAGCAAGTTATTTGAGATGACATATCCCCTTCACAGATGTTAAAGCTGTCACTAGTATTACTTAATTAGCCTTCATATATATGGAAGACACTTCCATTACAGTGCCTCAACATGCTGGGAGTGATGACCCCTAAAGGCAGCCAGTGCCCCTGTAGTATCAGCACAGAACAAACAAGTACTGACCTCATAATTTCCATGCCCCTTTCCACCTTTCTTGCCAGAGAGGTTCATGGCATCACGAGCCCAGTTGTCTACCAGTTTGTGCAGGTCATCAGTAAAGGTCCCTTTTCGGCTAGAGGCAGGAGGCTGAGGCTGAGGCGCCTGGCTGTTCACTGTACCTCCAACAGTGTTTGTACTGCTGGTCCCTGGAAAAACAAAGCAGCAGCTGTTATGCAAACCCGATCAGGTTATAGCTTCCTGGAGGCCACCAAAGCTACAACTACAATGGAACATAGGACAATGCAAAAATTTGAAAGCCATGCACATGTACTCTACAATTCAGCACTAGGACATAATGAAGAGGAAGGGTTTTAGGGCTCAGCTAGCAGTTTCTCTGCTATTAAGTTAATTATGTAATTTTGTGTTATTTTCCAGACCAGTGGGTAGTCTGCAAAGTTGCCATTTTCCACTGGAGGCTGAATTAACTTTTGGTACTAATGACAGACTCATGATGAATAGTTTCCTCTACTATGTCAACAGGTACCTATTATATTGAGTTAATGCAACTGCCAACTCTGCCCACTCAGTGGAGTAGTGAAGAGCAGGACACTTAGTATGGACAGATGCTCTGTTCTTCAAATGCGTAGTATGAAGCTGCCAGGACTCATGCCTGGAAAGGGGTATCTGTACCACTGGCAGCAGCCCTTCAGTGAGGAGAAATCAAGAACCTGCAGCTTAATAGCTAAACACAAGAAGGCCAAAGGCAAGAGGCTGACCATTTCTCATGCTTCAACTCAGGTGGCAGCTACCACAAAAGTCTGCACAGCTGGCTCCTATGATTTCAAACCACAAAATACTCTCAATATGCCTCAAAACAGAAACAAACACTGCCATTTCATTTAAGCTATGTTTCTGCCCTGATGGGCATTTAGTGGCAAACCTGTTGCAGAATGGCGTGGAAGACATTTTATTTGCCCACAATGGTTGTTAAGCAAACCACCTAAATGCACACATTTCTGATACATGCTGAGAAACAACTATCATAACCTTGGAGACAGAACACTACCCCGCAATTTACAGAAAAGAAATTGAAGCCCATGTGGCCACTGGGTTGCCCAAGCCTATGTAGGAAGCCCAATCTGATAAATTCTAAAGCTCAACTATCTTAGTCATCAGAAATAAAAGCCTCAATTTTCAATACAAAGGGAGAGAGATAATGTGTCAACAGAGAAGAACTTAGGACACACCAGTTAGACTAGGTATCACATCAGTTCCACCTAACTTGCTCCTCAGACTTGCACCAGATACTGGCAGGGAAGTTCCCCCTGCTTTTCTTTTTCCTTTTTTTAAAGAGAGCCAGGAGGGCACCAAGGGTCACCAGTACACAAAACTAAATGTGTAAGTGCTGGTAATGTTCCTGTTGCTTAGGAACCTGTAATTATAAGCAAAGTCAGAAATAGGTACAACCAGCTGAACTTTGGACCTCCGCTTCTAAGGAACAAAACTGACCTCCCTGAATCCAGGCCACACACAAATATAAAACATCTGTATTAATGACAGCAACCAAGCAAGGTGCTATTGCACTGTGAAATACAAACAAAGCAGGTAACACTAGCTAAGGTGGTGAAAGAAACAGACCTCTCCCCAAACTATACTAAGTAGACAGAAGTAGTGCTCAGTCACATGCAGGGGAAAAAGTTGCTGCTCATGAGGGGAAGGAATGTAGAGTCAAACAGTAGTAAGACCATAAGTGGAACATGCAAAGGAAAGGATGTTTGTAAAATGGCCAGATGGTGAGGAAGGGAGTGGAGCACAGACATTCACCTACTTAAAAAGGAACTGCCAGGATAATAGTCAGTACAGATAACAGGTAACAGTGGCATCAGGGACTGGGGTGGGGGGACTCTTGACACAAGGTATCAACAGATGCATTACTGCATTCGGCAGTCAACAGTTTCATGCAGAAATCAGCACGTCCTTCAGCCCCTTCCTGATGGCCAGACTCTCCACTCCTGTTACTGAGTGTGATGCCCAGAGAATGAGCATTTTTAAAGAGAAATACTGTTTGCCGCTTTAGGTCAACCTTCCCTTTGGCCATGTTTGTGAGGATTGCCGCAAACTGCCACCCCAACACCTCAGGAGGGCACCAGAAGGCTGGTTTAGGCTATTGGCATGCATTAGAAGTTCATCCTAAAATGTGACATAACAGTTTCTAAGGGACAGCTTGTCTCAAGATATCTCTAAGACCACAAGACAAGAGAGATTGCAATATTAAAAATGTGAGCTTTATGGGAAAGCCCCCATCTCTGATGTGTGAAGATACCAATTCTCAAGACATTCAGTCTATTGAACCAGCCATCAAGAAGAGTCTGACAAGCACTTGGATCAGACACAATGGAGAACAACCTCCCTCCAATCTTGCTCAGTCACAGCAAACAATACAGCATCTTACTTTGGCTCTTCAGCTCACTGAATAACAGTAGATGTTTCCCCCTTGGCCTGCGGGCCACATCACCACATTCTGTCTCTTGAGCTCCCTGCCCTCTTAACTCTGCCAATTCACTTCACTCCATGCACTGCTGCTTCTCTGCTGTTTTCTCATGTTGCAAGCACGCTCTGAGGACGCTGGGGTGCATGTCCATACCCTTTAGGGTATAGAACTTCTCTCTGAAATCAGATCAGTGCTTGGGCAACCCCCTTTCAACATCATCACTGCAAACAAATGAGATATTTTGCCTTCCAGCCCAAGATGCTGCATGTTACTTGTGCTTATATATACTTCAACATCCTTACTCATCAGCAAGGAGTACACAGACTGGTTGGTGGTCAATGCAGACCTTTCCAGAAAACTGCTGTCATGAGGTGGCCTGGCCTGTTGCCACATTATTGCAGAAACACACATTAGAAAGGACAGACACACACACACACACAGATGCTGTGCTCAAGACAGATTCAGGGAGGTTAAGCTTCAGGGATCAGAGGAAAACTCTTAACATGGCAGCTTGGCAATCAGAATTCAGAAGTAACCAAAATGCAATAATTACTACAGAGCTGGTTGCAAGGGCAGACTTTTTTCACCATCTTCCCTGAAGCACAAAGAAAAAGCAATTTGTTAAAGAGAAACAGTGAGAAATATTTAGTGTCAAGCAAACAGCACAAAAAGACCAATGAGAAAGAGGGGAAAACACAACAGTGCACTGTCCCTTGGTGACACTGTTCTAACACTTTTGGGCTTCTTCTAGCAAGAAACACAATGACAGCATCCAACTAGAGGAAGTGCATTAATAGGCACATTTACTTACAGAGCTCACTGCAGTTTTATAAGTGTATTAGGATTGTAATTTAACAATCATTTAACTCATTATTAGATACTGATTAGGCAAACAAACGAGTTTGAATTAGTCTCTCAAACTCTTCAAGATAACTTCCTGCTTTGAAAATCTCAAAGTTTTGTCCAGTTTGAACTGAAAATCAACCTAAACCTGAGCTGAACATTGGATTAAGTCTTGAATTCCTGCCCTACTGGTCTGATTTCTGCTTTTGACTGAAAAACTAATGGCATAAAACCTCCAAAGGCTACCTTGCTATTCTGAGATATATTAACAGAATATGTTATAAGGATTGGATGATTACATTCTTCAAAGCAATGCTCTCATCTGGAATGTCAGTGCCACCAGAGGAAGTAACATAGCTGTTGAACCTCTTCCACTTTTTCTCCAGCTGTACAGAAAAACATTATTTTAATGAGACCAGCCTCCTAATGGCTAACAAGGACCTTCCCCATCCCAGAGTCTGTAACAGGAGATTAGATCAAAGTTGAGGAAAATGAAAAACCTGCAAACGAGTTGAGCATCAAGCCAAGCCGTGCTCCCCCAAGCATTGTCAGCTTTTAAAGGACAGCTGCAATAAACTGAGGGAAAAAGTTGAAGGCATTACATTTGCCATAATCTCTATGCCCTAAAATCCAATTTCTATGTGTTCCTATGTGTAAGCCCATAAAAGGTATTTCTCACCACACCATGAAGAGCTACATGCAGTGGGAACGAGCCACATGCTTGCTATGCATTAATTATTCTCCTAGGTAAAGAAAAAAGACTTACTTGTTTCCCCCAATTTATCTCCCAGGGCCAGTTCTTGGTTCTGGCTACACTGTCATTATCTGCAGAACCTAACTGTACTTTAAACTCCCTATTTTAAAATCTGTTGTTAAGAAGCTGAAGATGAGAATAACTGCAAACTATGTTGTGATCTTATTTTGCTATGGTTTGATTGTATTGCTAGTCACCTTGTAGATCCATATGGATCAAAAGGCATGATCCAAATATTTCAACAAATGAAAATCATCAGATTCAGCACACCAATCTATATGGCTCCAAAGGCATGACATGAACCATCATAATAAAAATATGCACCACAGTGGCCCCCAAATAACATAAAACCAAGTCCAATGAAGTCGAAGCAGTGTTGCAAAGTTCAGCTCCCAAGAGGTGGCTTCTTCTAAGCTCCTTAACCCTCTCAATATCGCCATTGCAGCTGTCCTTGTAGAAGACTCTCTCCAAAACTGCCGCTTTGCTCATTGACTGCAAACACAGAAAAATCCCTGACCTGGCTGTGCTGCTGCTCAGTGCACATGGACAGATAAGCAGCGCACCCCAGAGAATAAGCATTAGCCGCACACCTTTCTGAGTTGACAGTCATCTGGACTTGAAGCATATCAACAGAAAAGCAATTGACCAAGTGTTCCATCACGAGCACTCCTAGACAACACATATATCCCTGAACTTTTCCAAGTTGCTGTTGCATTCATTGTTGAAGCAATTAAACAGTCACTGCCATATACACACATGAACTTAAGCTGGCAAAAATCAGCCCTGAGGAAAAAGCAGCTGGCCATGCCCTTGAGACTTGTGTGGATCAGCCCCATGTCCACAACACAGCCTTCCAAGTGAACCACTAGGAAAGGACCAAACAGCTGTATGCCTGGCCTTATGGTCCCTGGGTCATCATTTCCAGCTGTTACTACCCTACTTCCCATAGGAAAGCCCATACAACTGAGGAAAAATGTCACAAGAATGTCTCTTTGCTACTTGAAGCTTCATTTAAAACATGAAGCACGCGGCCGCCACCATTTTTGGCTGAGTAGCAGGATAACCATGTCGGAAGACTGGTTTCTGCAAGAAATACTCAAGAGCAACTCAGCCAAGCCCTGGGTTGAGATATACAAGAAGCCAGATGTGAATGGACGGCATGTGACAAAAGATCCAAGTTGCAGAAACAAAAAGACGAGGAAGGAGTAAAGGTGTTACACACAAAGAGCCAAGCAGGGCGTACTCAGAAATCGGGTCCTCCTGCCACCAGGTTTGAATGTCACCCGCTCAGATGCACAGTTAAACTTCACACAGCCTGTGATAAAACAAAAACAAAAAAGGGGGAAAGAACAAGAAGAAGAGAAGAGACAGAACACAACTACAAGATGTTAGAAAACTCTAGGCTGGAATGATGAAATGCACTAGCAAGACACAAGAGAAACAGCCTCGACCAGCAGAGTGGCATTTGAAGGATACAAGGAGCCATTATTCTTCTCTGCTCCCTCCACCCCACTAGCCAACCCCCAATATCACACTTGTTCCGTGCAATGCAACAGAGCTTTCATCCATTAGTTAATCCAGCAGGAACAAGACCACGAGCAATGTGAACCATAGCAAAGGCACACACTGACACCATACATTCCACAGCTTGAACGACACACGAGGTGCAGGTTAGTAGGGCTTGCAGGGTTCAAAAAGGAACAAGCGGAGACTCCCTTCTTTTTGGCAAGGTCACTCAGAAGGAACAGTGGCATGAGTTGCCATATTCTATTCTTTCATTTACTTATCCATTTCCTTGTCTTAAGTTCACACATCGCAACTTTGCCCATGCCAAGATTTAAAGGCACTTATTTGATACAACCCTCCATTCAGAAAAATAGGGAAGTGATACATTAAGAATCCATTCTCACAATGCAATGTGCAAATTCAAGGAAACCTCAAATATAAAGCAGGAAGCTGCCCAGAAAACATACATGTTTGATCTGTTATAAGTAAGGCAGACAAGTCCCCACTTAACTAGGGCAAACAAAGTCTTGCAGTATCTGTCTTGTGCTTTTTCCCACCATCATCTCCTTACTGAAGAAGGTGCAGAACAATGGAACCTTCACTCTCATAGCCTTAATCTGAGCTGACAGTGTGCCAGGCCTCTCACGCTCATCCTATGAAGGAGATAATCTGAAATGAAGGAGGGAATTTAATCCCCCACCTTAGCCCCCAGTTAAAGCCTGTCTCCTGGATGCTATTCTGCAATATTTACCTTGGCCTGGCGCAGAAAGGCTTGGTATGGAAATGGCACCATCACTAGTAAAGGCAGAGTAGAGGTTCTCACTAGAAGGAGATGGTTTTAGGGGCTGTAACAGATGGTTCTGTCCTGTTTCTGGGACGCTCCCAGGAGGGTGGAGGGTTTGCTGCTGGGGTAAGACCGAAGGTGCACTCTGGGCAGACAAATTACCTGTGGGAGGTTGGGGGAAGAAGCAAAACATTAGGACCCTGGCAACTTGATGCATACTTATTGTACCCATCCGAGTGAACACCTGTGTTCATATGGTAAAGCATAGCATAGGCTGGCACATACAGGAGAGGTTAAGGCATTAAACTGAACTGAAAGTAAAAAATGAGGAATGAACATCAAGGCTGAGAAAAGTAACTAAAAATGGACACAAAACAAAAAAGAAAAGCTATCAGAGAATCTCTGTACCCAAGTTTTATGGACAGAAAAGGCTATAGGTACACATTAAAACAAAGAATATATCTGCTTTATTACTGAGGATAAGGGAGGACTATTAAGTTATGTATTAAAATCCCACTTTTTAAAAATAGTATTTTTGCAAGGTGACGAACAATACAGTAATTACAAGTTTTCATTATGTATACGCTACAAAAATATTTATCATATTTATATCCTACCATTTTTCTCTTTAAGGAACTCAAGGTAGCTTACATAATTCTCCTCCTGCTCTCAATCTTATCCTCACAGCAACAAACCTGTGAGGTAGAGCTTGGGCTGACAGTCTGATTGGCCCAAAGTCACACAGTTGGCTGCATAGCTGAGTGGGGACTAGTGGGGACCACCTGAGTTCCAGTCCTGTGTTCATAACCAGTGCACCACATTGGTTCTCAATATGCTGCAATAACCCATGTTCTCCCCCATGTATAACCAGTCTTCACTTATTGAATCTAAGAACACAAAGAATAAGTGAAACTGCCAGAGATACCACTTAGGTATTGTGCATGCACCAAGTGGACATAGTTGTACTTTGAATACTTGGGTTTAGTTCCCCAAGCAGCCATACAGCTCACTTACTTTCAGTTTAACCTACATCACAGAAAACAGGAAGGAGTCATGTACACGTCTGAGTTACTTCAAGAAAATGGAGTAAAAAGATCATGAGCCATTTCAAAAACCCAACTAAAATCCCAAGTACTTTCACTGTAGAAAACTAAGTCACCATTAAACAGCCCAGTAGGAAAAAGAACCAAGCCATTTCTACCACAATCTTTAAGGTGACTTACCCAAAATCTGAGGGCTCTTATTACCCTGAGAGCTGCTGCGGCTGGACCGGCTGCTTTTTCCTTTAGTAGGTCTTCTCCGCCTGCCCGAAAGAGGAGCAGCAGGAGGGATGATGACTGCGGGAGGCACCTTGCCCAGTTTTGTGTAAAGCAATTCAATCTCCAACTTTTGGCGACTTTGAAGTTCTTGGATCTCTTTAAGGTGCCTGAAGAGCAGAAAGAGGACAGTCATCATTTCCTCCCACAAAAGCAGATGTCCAAATGAAAATGGATGAGAAGTGAATTCAGATCAGAGACTATTTATTTACGGTGCACAAAAGGGATCTGCAACACAATGTCACATTGTGGTTCCATATCCTAAGAGGGCCTTCAGAACTCCAAGCATCCTGGAACAGCAGCCTTGCAGTGATGCTCAGATGACCAGTGGGGAGGGAGGTCATCTCAGAAATGGGAAAGGACACTTTTTCTGACCTTCCCCTACCTTGCCAAATGAAGAAAGTCACAACTATATAAAAGGGCAAAGAGACATGCAGCTCCAGAGAGTGAGACCGTCTTTTCCCCTCTTGCCTCTGAAACATGCAGTGAAGGGAGGATCTTTAACCAAACAGTATGCACTTCCTCAACTTCCTCCAGGGCAAATACTTACATCTGCATGGGCTTGAGAAGGTAAATGGTGCCTCCTCTGCCCTCCAATTTTCTGTTCTTCCAATCCAGCCACCAGCATGCTAACCACTCTTCACTGCACCCTTAATTGATAGTCACCATTTACCTGATCTGTGGTTTCTTTTGCCTCTTTTTTCTTTCGCTTAACTCAACTACTACACATGTGCATTCAGACATCTTCTAAAACACATCTGGGGAACTGCAAGAAATCTAGGGACTATTTCCTTGCCACCCATGCCAGCACCCTCTTTCACATGAACACATGTTCTTTGAGGTTGGTTTGCTTAATGCATTTAAAATACCTAGGGAGTCCCATGTAATGACCAATACTTTATTTCAAGACTGCTGTTTTTTTGCTTTTAAACTAACAGGCACTGAACCACCTGGGTCAATTATTAGCAGAAATGTTATTTCAGGAGCATAGTTCCATACAAAAAACACTGAAGAGCTCAAGTACTATTCACCCTTTTCAGCACAGCAGTTAAAGGCTAAACCATGACCCAGATGCCACCAGTTCAAATCCCGCCTTTGCCATGAACTTACTAGCATGACCTGAGGTGAGCCATCTCAGCCTCAGCTCCCCTTTTCTAACAAAAGGATAAATAAAAAACATGCTGGGTGTCCCCTTGTTGACTTTTTGGTGTCCTTTTGTCTCAGGTTTTCACATTTTAATCTGTGATGTGCATTTGTCTGATTAGCTGCTTTTGGAGTTGCTTTAGATATACTACTACTAATTGTTTTTGATCCCTGTTATTGCAAGCTGCATTTTCTGCTTTATTTAATTTTAAAGATATTTTATTTGGGTTTTATTGATTTTATTCATGTGCATCTACACCCCCACACACTATAGATAAATCACATGGACTATACAGCAATGGAGTTAAACAAATAAGCAAGCTGCAAACAGAAAAACAGACTGCAAAAAATGAATCTTACTTCTCTCGCAATTGACGTAGCTCACTCTTCAAGTCTTCATCTTCAATTTCTGACTCGTTATCGCTACTCATGTAGGAAGAGTTGAATGAGTTGCTAAGGCTCTGGACTGGAAGACTGATTTTTGACCCTGGAGGAAGGAGAGAGTCTGGACTCCCAGAGCCATCATCCAGCTCCTTTGCTGCTCTACTGAGGTAGGCAGCCTCCAGCTCAGATGATGGCCCATTCAGATGCAAAGAAGGCCTTCTCTCCACAAGTTCTGATTTAGGAATTTGGAGTGGAGAAGAAACTTGCTCAGAGTCCATAGAGAGAGGGACTATTGCAGGGACCTCTCTTTCCACACAGGTCACCTCTTCTTCTTGAGTTCTAGACACAGAAAAACGACCCACTTGGTCTGTTGTCGTTGTCACCTGGAAACGCCCAACCTTGGTTGGCTGCAACTGTGTAGTAGAAGGGTGTGAGAAAACTCCATCTCCCACATCCACTGAGGTAACAGCAATGGATTCAGCTGTTCCACTGGAGGTTGGTTTTACTACAGTGCTCTCTGGGCTGCTGCTAGACAAAGATGAAGACTCTGAGGTGGTTGTGTCAAAGTGCTTGGGCTTAGTTCCACTCTCCTTCTGATCATCCACTGCCACTGACACCTAAATTTGATGGAGACCCTATTTTTAGTCAACTTACATAAAAATATATACACATTATGCTGATTATTATTACAGCACTGCATTTATATCCTGTCTTTTTTCCTTGTGAGGAACCCAAGGTGGCTTAAAGAGCTCCATTTTATCCTTACAACAACCCCACAAAGACAGTTGAGCTGAGAGTCTGTGACTGACCCGAAGTCAGCCAGTGAACTTCAAGGCCAAATGGGGACTAGAACCCAGATCTCCCAAGACCCCAGTCCAACACTCTAAGCATACTGGCTCTCATGCACACTCTCACACACTACTCCAATGTTCATGACATTTTATAGCTACCTGCCCCCAAAAACATTCAATCTACAATTTGACAAAGAGAACCAAATGGAAACGAGGAGTACTGCTTGGCTGTTTTCATTGCACGTGCTTACAATTAAGTGCAGCCTGAGGTGAACTTGAGGCTGGCATAACAGTGCTTGTACTAAAGTGTGCACTCAGTACTTTCTCTCCAGTCAAATACATTCTAGAGAAGAGTTCCTTGGACCATTTGTTGATAAAAACAAGAGTTGCTACTAAATAGCAGCAAAAACTTAAGGTAGCTGTTTAGACCAATGCTTTTGATTCCTCCTGTTTTAGAAATTAGAGGGATATCCTTTAAGAATATCAGTAATGCTTAGACAGTTGAGTGCTGAAATACTAATGCCCTGGTTGCTGAAATACTGATTTCCCAGTTCAACCACAATAACTAGCTATAGCATTTGCCCGGCATCAGTTCCCCACCCTATCTATAAAATAGGAGTAATTGGGAAGTATAAAGATCAGCAATACAAACAGTATAAAAAATATTGCTAAAATACCTGAAAACGACCCATCTTAAGAACTGCAGCACCGGAGGTGGTAGTTGTGGCACAACTTTCTGCATCCTGAGGATCTGAAACAGGAAGTGAAGATGAGAAGATGTAAGCTTTTGTCCTGCTACTTTTGAGAGCATTTCACATAACTGGGTTCGTAAAATACTCTACAAAAAGGTATATAATATTTAGTTCATTCATTCCAGTAACTCCTTTACATTAAGTACTAGAGCCAGGCTCATTCCATAAAGTTGACTGCTGATAAATTCAGGAAAGAGGAAAAGGAGTGCTTCTTCACATGGTGCATAGTTAAGTGATGGAATTCACTTCCACAAGAGGCAGCTATAACCACCAATTTGGATACCTTTAAAAGTTGATTGGACAATTCATTGAGGAGAAGGCTATCAGTGGCTACTAGTCCTGATGGTTACATGCTACCTCCACTATTAGAGGCAGTTTTGCCTACCAATCCCACTTTCTGGGAAACGGGTGGATGCTGTTGACCACATGAGCTGCTTGTGGGCAACTGGTTGGCCACTGTTTGATCAGTATGCTAGACTAGATGGACTTTTGCTCTGATCCAGCAGAGGTCTTATATTCTTACAGGACACAAGAAAAGCATGCCTGGATTCTATTCTCATTGTTGTGTGGACCTTAGAAGCACAGCATGTCCAGGGGAAACCTGAAAATAATGTTAGCTCATTCCTGCATTACAGAATTATTGGAGCAGTTATCTCAGTTTTCTTATACTTAAGCTAATGTCAAGTGTGAGAAAACATCTTTAAACTAAAATTTAGTGGGAAAAAATACACCTGCCTAAGCACAGCATAGTTACAGGGCAACCAGTTGGTATACAACCTTAAGAAGCTCTTTACCAAAGCAAATTATATTGAATGTACTATTACCAGCTATTTCAGGTGACCATAGATAAGTCCATCAAATGCCTTTAACCTTGGCATGAACAAGCATAACCTCCAGTTTTAGCACCCTTACCAGTATTTGTGGGCTGTTCCGGTGCAGACACCATTCCAGTACCTGTGGCAGAAGTCACAGATGGTTGAGGCTAACAAAACAAAACAAAGTTATTTATTAGTCAATGCAGTCTGTTCTGTTGTTGTTGTTACTGTTGTTATTATTATTATTTCTTCAGGATAATTATTTTGCTTGGGACTATTCCTAGGGTCTCAATTATTTTACTTCAGCCTGAGATATCAAAGCAAAACACTGAAAAATGTTCACCATAGCAAATCAAGTCCACTCATTAACCATCCTATGAAATTCTGATACTGCCATATTAAGAGCACCCTAATCCAAACATCTGTGCCTCACAGTTTCTCTTAAGGATATGAAGCGGAGGAGGAGGAGGAGAAGGAGGAGGAGGAGGCAGCAATAATGAATATAAAGAAGAAGATGATGACGATGCAGCAGCAGCACCGCTGCTTTGCTATAGTTTTTATGGGCATTACTTTCTGCAAAACACAAAATGACTTCTGTACAACTAGCCTATCTTCATCATCTGTTGCACAGATGGCAGACAGGCCACCTTTATCCTAAAAGCGCTATTAAATCTGTTCAGAATTGAAGTACCTATTGTAAGCATGACATTTCATTTGTAGCAAAAGATCCTAAAGGAAAATTCATAAACACATTTCTACTTTAATTTACCAAGTTCACACAACCTCTTTCATAAAACAGTCACTGCTTCTGAAACTCTAGTATAAGACTAGAAAATTTAAAATACATGTTAAAGGTAAAGGTAAAGATAAAGGTTTCCCCATGACATTAAAGTCCAGTCATGTCTGACTCCTGGGGGCGGTGCTCATCTCCATTTCCTAGCTGAGGGAGTCAGCGTTTGTCCACAGTTTCCCTGATCATGTGGCCAGCATGACTAAACATCGAAGTGCACGGTATGCTGTTACCTTCCCACTGAAATGGTACCTTTTTATCTACTTGCATTTGTATGCTTTCGAACTGCAAGGTTGGCAGGAGCTGGGACAGAGTACAGGAGCTCACCCCGTCTGCGGATTCAAACCATCAACCTTTCAATCAACCAGCCCAGTGGCTCAGTGGGTTAACCCACTGTGCCACTGCATCCCATTAAGATACATGTTAGAAGGCCCCAATCTAAGCCTTATGACTACCTGAATAGGAGAAGATATAAACGCTTGTATGAATGGAGCTAGGGGAACCAAGTATGTGATGTTAATTTTATACCCTTCCTTTTCATTTAAAAACATTCAATAGGTATATTTAAAAAGCTGCAGAACAAACAATATAAAATAATCAAGGAAGCTACAAACAATTGGTAACTCTTATGTGCAATTATGTGCCTGAAGCCCCCATGCTCTAAAGATAATCCAGCATCTCTTAGTTTTCCACAGGCACAGAACAGCCTTCCACAACATGGTGCCTTCTACATCTTTTGGACCACAACTTCCAACATTCCTGATCATTACCATGCTGGTTGTCAGAATTCCAAAACTTCTGTAGGGCACTGCACTGGTGCAGATTAATCCAACATTGTGAGCTGGGAGACTGGGAACCAACATATCCAATTGCTTCTTGTATCCTAGGACTGAAACCTGCAGGTTCTAAACTCCCTGGGCTGCTGCCACATATCGTTGGTACCAACCCACATGTAGGTGGGAACTTGGAACATTTTAGTCACTAGTTCAGCCAAAACTTACACAGGCAGGAGCTGACGTTGTTGCAACTGTCTCTGGACTCAGGGCTCTTCTCAGCTGAGCATCCAGGTCTTCCAGAGGTTGCTGAGACTGCAAGGAGGAGGAATAATTAGCCATTATCTCTTAAATCCCACACTTGACAACTTTAAAATACTGAGACCGAGTTCTCAGGTGATATCAGAAATTCAGTGACAAAACAGATAAGTATTGAACCCATACCTTTTAATATTAGGAACTCTATGAGAGTAACTTTACCACGTATTACCATAACTTATAAATTTAATTCAGCATTAGGCTAAAGCTAATCAACCTTTTTCAAAAACCACTAGAAGAAATTCCAGAACTCTACGTTGGGGTTTTCCAGAAACTCTAACTTCCTTCAGGATAGTTGTGCATGCAGCACATTAGAGTGACACAAACTTTTGCCTACTTCAGGTATATTAACATGAAATGAAAAACAGGCTGATGCTGATGTGGTATTTACCAGACTGAGTATATACAAGTTTTGAAGAAGAGTTATTTCCAATTTGAATAGATGAATTAAGAGGAATGAGAAGATGGAGGAGCAAAGTATTCAAATCTTATATTCTGAAAATATCTAACAAGATGGGAAACATCTGTAATTCTGTATTCATCCATATTAGTAGGTTATCCAAGGCAGAATTAGTTGAAACATTTATCCCTGAAATTTCAGTGCTACATTAAATGTATTAGTAGTTAGTGAAACTACTGGTACAATCTTATCTAACATGGCAGTGTACTAGAAATTAGTAAAATTAACCACATCAAAACCTTGAACTATCCAGGGGGCTGTTAAGAATACCTCAATATTAATTAATACTGAGAAGTTATATATTTGCCAACCTACCCACTTATTTTCCACAACCTATGAACAAAACTTTCAAATGTATATTTCACTTCTCTGTAATGAATGCAGGCTGAATGCCACATCATCACATGATAACCTGGTTCATACATCACAACCTAGAACAGGTTAAAGAACCCCAAGGCCTGCACAAGAATGAGGGAATATGCTAATTCCCACCTGTGCACCGCTTCTACTTCATTTCCACTACTGTAGACAACCCAGGAACTGGCTTGTTCATCTTCACATCTGAAAGTGGAACTTTTGGCTGTTGTGGGAAACATCCCTGAGTTTTAAACCAACAACACATTGTGGATTAAAACTCCAGGTTGTTCCCTCTTAATAACCAGAGTTCCCAGTTTCCCAGAGTTTGTCACAAAAAACAATCAAAAAACAAGGTATTCCTAGGTTTTTTACAAGAATAGAAATGGAGCACAAATGGTGGACAGGTGAGAAGGGGTACACTCAGCTGTGTGGAACCCATGAGTTTTCATTACATGTGAACAGCATTAATGAATCACATGACCAACAAAACATACCAATTGCAACCAAATCTATTCATCCTATGTGTTGGCACAACAATTTGTTGATGTAAATTGGCCTCTATTCTCCATTAGCAAAGGTAGATCAAATCTTTGCTACATAGCACTTGGTCTAGAAAGGGAAGGAGTCAGCTCATGTCCATTCATTCAGTTCCATCCCTCTGCTTCAGCCGCTAGGAAATACTTTCACTGATACTTTCACTGAAGATAAAAAGCTAATAATGCATACCCCTTCCCTGGTTGTACAGTGTGCATTCTACATACTCATTTTCAATGGAAGCAAAGAAACTGCTACCTTTCATGGAATGCCACATCCTAAGAATATCAGACTAATATTTTTGCAAAGTTGCTTTCCATTATGTTAGGAGAACGAAGCCTGGAAACAGCTTTTCAGGGTATTAGGCAACTCTGAAACCCACCAGCTGTCATTTTGGAAACTAGGTATTATCTTTCTCCTATCTCTCATGTTTCCTAAAGCATATGAAGCATTGTTAGCTTTGTGTTATAAATAAACAGAAATGAAATCAGAAAAAGATAGTCGTAACTTAAGCTATACAAATAAACCTTCAAATCTGTGTAATTTTTTTCAACTTTGATTACTTTTACATTCACCCAGCCATGACTATATCACTATTGAATTTATTCTATGTACAAAGCTAAGAGAGAGATTTTAATAGGTTATACAAGCCCTTTTTCTCATGCCATATGTTTGTATGGATTGCACATACAGCCCAGAGAGCTTCAGCTATGGGGTAGTATAGAATTGAAATAAATAACCACCACCACCACCACCACCTTAGGCTATGAAGGTCAGGCCTTTGTTCCTTCACTTATTCCCACAAACTGATATCACAGGCTCATCTCAACCTGCCAAGTTGGTTCCCATTCACATGCATGGCTTCTCTAGCAGCTGGCAATTCCAAAGATCCCAAGCAGGGGACATACAGTGCTTTGGTGACAGACATGCTTTGCCAAACATCAATTTAACAATGCACTGAGCCCAAGTAAGTACAACAGCTTTTGAAACCAGTGCATTAAAACATTAAGCTGTGACTCTTTATCTCTGTACAAATTTGCATATTAGGTTAAACAATCCCCAAAGAAAATGGAACATCCAAATTTATTGAGAAAAGATTACTCAGTAATAAATCAATAAATGAAAATGTGCAGGAAGAGACATCATGCAATAGCGTTAAAATCTGAACATGCTGTTTGAAAGGGAAAGAAGAGCAAAGCAGATAGCCATATAGCACCTGAGTTAGTGTAGGTCCCGGAAAGGGCGGCAGCTGCTCACTGGATGGAGTGCCAGCTGGAAGTTCAGAACCTACCGGTAGTGCCTATGAACAGATGAAATTCAGGTTCAGTCAAAGAGAAAGATCATGTACTTCATACAGAATAAGTATTTCTCTGTGGAGGGTTCAATACTCAAGCAGCATGACTAACATAGCTAATGTTTTAAGTATTAAAAAAGGTAATCGTCTAATGGACAAACGGAAAATACAAAACCTCAAAATGCTGCTCAAAATGGAGACAATTCTGAGACAACCAGTGAAAGACACTGAATGTTTCTTTCTACCAGAGAAAGTGATACACTGAAACATATTAGGCATCCTTTATTCTCCAGTATGTATGTTTCTACTCTCACCATCATTTTGAGTCCTTGTCTCTCTATCTCCCTCTGCTTCTACTTTTTTTGCTACTGCCCTTTCTCTGTTCATTTTCTGGTGCAGCAGACTGATGTATCCACAGTGATAGGTTCCAAGTCCATCAGCAGATGCCTGAAACCATGGATGCTAGCAAACACTATATACTGGACATGCACATTTCTTTCTTCACAATTTCACAAATAGAAAATTCATTCTTACCATACTTCCTAGCAGCCTCAGCATATTCTTTTTTCTTTCTCTATTAAATCAAGAATTTTCACTTAAAGGAACCACTTTACGACCTCTCTTTCAGACAAAGGTCAAGCACGGCCACGGTTAAGTGAAAATGCAGTAACTGAACCAGTGGTTTCAGGGGTCCTGCTGTAATCTTTTATCTTGTATATTGGCAAAGTCTGTCCACCAACTGGAATACTGGAACATCTACTGAGAATTGACCTGTCACATCTCTGATACTAACCACTATTTCATATATGACTTTCTCCTACTCAGAAAATCTCTTCCAAATTCACACAGGGAGTGGAATGGGGGTGGGACAAGAGCAGGGGGAGAGATGAGATATTTCCATGCTTTTACACACAGTGAACTCATTTTTCCTACACAGGTAACTAGTAGACCCTGTAAATAAAGTTCCACATGTGAATTCACCCTAAGTGGGACAAAAACATTTAAGTAGTCTTCACTAGAGAATTCTTGAGAACAGTAGTACATAGCATTAAGTTAGACTTTGCAAATCATGATTGTGATAAAAATTATATTACAGAAATCTGTTGTGTCTAATTCTTGTTGGATTCATTCTTGTTGAATTCATTCTTAGAAATCTACAACAAATAATTTTATTTTTTAAAGATTGTGCTATTCTTTTATACATGCTGATGCTAGGCATTGTCTAGAAAGAATAACTTCTTTCTATATAGGGAGCTTTTCATATGGCACTGCTCTGATCATCCTATGATGCAAGGTTAATGTACCAGCAAGCTACCATTCTTGTAATTAATTGCAAGGCTACTAAAAGAAAGTACACAAAAGCCATCCCACCAGGAGTTCAGCAACAGCCTCCCTTGCTTTTCAAAGGAAGCCCTCCAATCAGATTGGTTGCTGCAGCAATTGGGCCAGCCCACCTAGAGTTGTATCAGTAGGCAGTTTTTTGAGAAATCCCACTGATAAAGTGTCACAATCCACCAGCGAGTTGAGCAACAGGGGGCATTTGGCAACAGGTTGAGAAGGCTAGAGCATGAGACTACTCTCTTTGCTAGTCAGGAGGGTAAGGTACAAGGAACCACAGACAGGCAAATCCACCTCCCTCTCCAGTAAGATAAATAGAAGAACTTGATAAAATCCAAAATCCCCAAGGCAAAGTCCCAGGGTGACAGCTCCTCCGTGGCCACAGAAAAAGGGGGTCTTGGAGAAAGAGGGCATCATTCTGAGGATGAGGGAAATGATCCCTTAGAAGGGAGCCATTCTTTGGAAGGTGAGTGTGCATCTCTCACACCAAGAATACCTCCTGGGTGGGGTGGGATGGGGAGATTGTTTGTTTATTACTTTTCTATACCATCCCTCACCAAAGTCTTGGGATGGCTGAACAATACAAATTGTGAAATGACACACAGCGTCCTTAGGAACATAGAAAGCTCGGTTAGCAATAGGCATGTGGACTGCATGGTGAATTGCCTGCCTGGTGCAAAGGATGAAGGTATCACATGCTGTCTAAAGAGCCTTGCAGATACCGCAGAAGTGGAGTTGGTGGCCGTGGTCCACGCTGGTATCCATGACATGGGGATATATAGTTGTAAGCTCCTGGAAACCAAATTTAGGTTGCTAGATAGAAGGTTGAAATCCAGGACCAAACCTCCATGGTAGCTTTCTCCAAAATACTACTGGTTTCACACACAGAACCAGATAATCAGGTGCAGCAGAGGAGTTTCACTGCATGGATGAGAAGGTGGTGTAAAGTGGAGGGTTTCACATTTCTTAGGCACTGGTGAACATTTTGGGACAAGCTGGGCCTGTACAAGAGGACTGGGCTCTGCTTGAACCAGAATGGAACCAGACTGCTGGCACGTGACATAAAGAAGAGCAGCTTTTAAACTGAACCCTGGGGAAAAGTCAACAGGAGCTAGGAAGCAACGGGTTCAGGTCAAATAATCCCTAGTGGACGAAGGGTAGGAAGTTTCAGGGCTTCAATTTTCAAGGGAAACACATTGCAGCATGGGACAAATAAGGTACACACTAAAGCTAGAAAGCACATTTCTTCTAATTCCATCTTAGTAGAGGCGGGAATAAGTTGTTCAGTGCAGTATCACTGAACCATTTACTCTACGATCCCACCTCAAAAATTAGTAACTGTGTTTAACTACTTTTATATGATACTTTTTGGTAAACAACTGAAGATCATTGCTACCCGCTTTCCACATCAGACAGTTTTCAGAAAAATCTACTTTGTGAAGTATGATATAAAATACTGTGTAGAACCCAAATACTTTAGCCATTTCTTTTCCAATAGCAGGTTTTAAAAAAAAAAAACCATGTGATTACAGTAAACACAGAAGTGCATCTTCCTATTATAATATCCACTGCATATCTATCAATTTCACCCTCTATTATTGAACTCGCATCACAAATTGGCCCTATAAGCCCAAAAGGAGACAATTTCATCCATTCTCATGTTCTTCCTATACACAAAGCTTGCTACAGGTAAGTTTTTATTGGCGCTCTACCAACTGCATGTAGAATATAACAATACATGAGCTCTTCTTTCAGCAGCACCAACAGTAGGAATGTTGCATAAGGAGCATGGGAATGTGGCCCATAATCTGTCACATCTAAGGTTTAAAACTCCAAGAAGCTTGCTTGATCTTATCTTTAAAATCCCCTGGAAAATGCCTACCCAGCTTCTGGGCTACAGTGTGATTTACTCATGCATACTGTTGAGCTCCTGCCATATGCATTTATCTGTCCACTGCCACAAATCAACTACTAAACATTTCAGTGTGTGCATAAAGTTTCCTGTTACATTTTAAATAAAACTCTTAAAAGCAATCAACTGATATTCTTTAAGGCAGCAATATGCAACAATTATTACAACATTATTCAGGCTTTGCCTCACATTTGGAAAGTGCCTTATCTATTTGTCATACATTAGGAGAGCTCAGCTGGATCAGACTAAAGGCCTATTTAGTCCAGTATTTAGTTTGCAGTGGCCAACCAATCACCCATAAGAAACCCACAAACAGAGCACGAGTGCAATAGCACCGTGTTCCCCAATGACTGGTGTACATGGGCATACTACCTCTGAAACTGGAGACAGCATATAGTTATGAGGCCTAGTTAACCATGGATAGCATTTTCCTCCATATATTTGACATACTGCCTTTTAAAGCCCTCCAAGTTGACCACAACCACTAAATGTTGTGGTAATAAATGTCACAGTTTAAATATGCGATAGAGCAATTGCACGTAATTGTCCTGGAACTCCTACGACTCTGCTTTGTTCTCCTATGAATCACCCAGGGCTCTAGTACTGTATGAGAGGGAAAACCCCTTTTCCTGTGCAGTTTTTCCACACCATGCATAATTTTACATATCTCTGTTATCCCCACCACCTTTACTTAGCGTTTTTTCTATGTGAACAATCCCCGCAATATTGTGCCAGCTGTAGAAGGTGTGATGTGGCAAGCACTACTATGTAACAGTAGTGCAGAAATAGACAGTAGTAGAAAAACTGAATCTACAATCAAGAAATGCACAGAAGACCAACCAAAGAAGATACAGGTAATTCTTCTACATTAGCCTTCTTGGAAGGCACCTCACTTGATTTGTTTTAAAATGCATTGATAAGAACACTGGATTCCTTACCGGTGCCCTGCTAAGAGGCGGCTTTGATGGAGGAGTTCCTGGTTTAACCGTTGCTGATGTAGTACAGCATGTTGCTGGGGCACAGCTGCCTGGAGTGCCTGCTTGCCCAGGTGTGGCAACTGGCGTCATGACAGGTAAACCAGTTGGACCAAGTGTCAAACTCACTGGTGGTATGCTGGTACTTGCAATGGCTGCCACAGGCTTCGTAGGTGCAACCACAGTAGTTGGTAAACCAGGCATAACTGTTGTCTCCATTACTAGAGATGTGTCCAGTGATACTGCTGGATGAGCTGCACCAACACCACCATGTTCACTGAAGAGGGATCGCAGTTTTTCTTCCAAGGTTTTAATGTCATCTATGCCAGGTGCTTTTGGCTGAGTATCAGCATCCCCTTCCAGACAATGAGTATGAGGCTGATTGGGCAAAGGAGCTGGTTGAGGTTGACTATGTATTAAAGTCTGCTGCACTGCGGGCACATTAGCTACTGGCTGTGCCAGTGGCAGAATGCCAGATAAAGGAACCTGGGGTACTGGGGTACAGACCACAGTTCCTACTGGTGCTAAACTAGATGAGGTAACTACAGGTGGGATGGATGGTGGCTGTACCACAGCTGGCTGCGAGATGGAGCTAGGTATAGTTGATGTTACTGTAGAGGATACAGGTATAGAAACAGGGACAGGTATTTCACCTGTACTGCTTATCTGTGGCTTTTCTTGAGATTGTTCACCTTCAGATCGTGGCTGCAGCACACTAACCACTACCATTTCTGCCAGGCTAGGGACAGAGCTGCTGGTGTTCAAGTGAGAAGAGTGTGAAACTTTACTCTGCGCCAAAGACACAGGAATAGATGTTTGTGATGCTGTTGGAGCAGCACTTCCACTGCCTCCACCCTGCTGGGGTGTCACAGATGGTGCCTTAGCTCCTGATGCTATAACACTAGGCCATGTGGATCCAGCTTGTGGCATTGTTAGAGATGCAGGGGTGCTAATACTAGTAGCAATTTCTCCAGGGGCAGATTCTGCCTGGGATGCAGTTGTTGATAAAAATGAAGGAGCACTGATGCTGGAAGCCACTCCACTAATTAACTGGGACCCAGACTGCAGCCCTGGTGGGGGAGAACTGGAGCCTGGCAATTCTTCACTCAGTGGAAGCCCTGTGGTCACTTTTTCTATTGGCTGAGTTGTTGATGAAGAAACATCAGTGGAAGAAGAAAGTGACATGGAAGGACCAGTCATGGATGTTGATGGCAGCCCCCCATTCACACATGTGGTTGCAGGTGGAAAAGGTGGCACAGCCTGGTTAAAAACTGGGGGAGCTGTGCTAGGTCCTTCCTGAATCTGAGCATGCTTAAGCTCCGAAAAAGCATGCTGTAGGCTGAGTGATGATGCAGAGTGTGAAAGATTCATCCCAGGGCCATGAGATGGGGAAGCAGCAACTAAAAGGAAGAAAGGCAAAGTCAGCTTCTCTGAAAAGAACTTTCTGAAGCTGATGCTATGTATTTGTTAGGTTTTTACACAGACTGTACCCTTATTTAATTTTTGGAAAAATAACTTCCAACTTCCACAGGTTTGAGAAATGCTGAAATAGGAGGCTGCTATATCTGTTCCTTCCAGAAGGCCCTACGGACTTCAGCGAAATTGCCACAAATTCAATTAATAAGAATGCTAGATGAAATTATTATTATTATTATTATTACTATTATTATTATTATTACATTTCATGCTGGATTATACCAAAAATTCATCTAGTTCAGCATTTTGCTCAAAGAGTGGCCAACCAGACACAGGACAGGAATGGAACAGCCCCTTTTGACCTTCCCACTTGTGATCCCAACATCCTGCATGTAGGCATGCCGCCCGGCTCCAAGGGGTAATATGCAGTCATCATGACTAGTAAGCCAAGTCACTGAGTGTTAAGAATTTTACAGTGCTGCATCTTCAAACACGTGAAGTATCCTGCAATAGTATCCTTTGATACTATTCAAAGGATCAAGGATCACATTCTATTTAAATTTATTCACATTATGGCCTATAAAGTTATCAGGGCAACACGAAACAAAGATTTAAAAAAAAATCAATTTGAAAATGCAATACAAGTACAAATACAGTGTGTGGACAGTCATGGAGAGTTAATGCAGTTTGAAAATATAGATTAAAAGGCCAGGAAACATTTAAAAGGTCTTTACTTCAAACTGCAATGATGCCAATGAAGTTACCAGTCAAGCCTCTTATGATGAGGGTATTCCACCTCCAGGACATCACCACTGAAAATGTTCTTTTCAATAACTACCTACAGCACCATGTGCAGCTGGAATACTTTGGAAATGAAGATTTCAATATCCAGATCGATACAGGCAGTGCATTCAGTCTGCACTACGAATGAATTCCTTACTGAAACAAAGCCTTTGACTCCATTCACACATAACAGCAACAAATTGAGGGTTAATTTACCCAGAATTTGCATGCACTGCCACCATTTTGCATAAGCAACTTCCAATCAAAGACTGCTACATGATATTGGAACCAAGATACTATAGGTGAATTGTGTGTTAAACAAC